TACTGCAAATATTCCATGAATAGTGGCACGTATTGTTTGAATTAGAGCAAAAATAACTGAGCACACACGTCATCAATTCATCGTCACGTGACTTTACACACCACATTTTACTAAATCTAAAATCACTTCAATACAACCATATATGGACCACGGTACTTATTCGGGATTAAAATGATAATGAATTCAGAAAGCTCACATACCCTCCAATAATGCCAGTCGTCCCTGGAGCTAACCCCGCCGTCTGTCCCTTAAAAGCATCGGCGATGTTTGCAGACGAATAGATACCAACTGGCGAATTGTATTGAAGATGCACCACTTTTGCCGAACCAGGTCCTGCAGGGGCATTGGGGTCAAAATGCTGAAATGTGAATATTACAAAAAAAAGTGATTTATTTACTCATGGAGATTTACAGCGGTAATAGTGTCATTTTATTGACTTATTGTATTGCTTATTCTAATGTTACGTGGGTACGCAGGGTCGGATATGGGATTTGTTATGGGGGGGGGGGGGTCCAAACTTTAAAATCGCCAGACTAAGTTAATGATTTTTTTATATTGTACAAAAACAAATTGAATACATTTTTCAACGGGGGGGGGGGGGGTCCCGACTCCAAGAACGCTCCCTAGATCCGTCACTGGTACGGCATGATCTTTAACAACACAGAACAACTATACCCAGAATTTACCTCTCGTACTGTCGGTGCTGGTTGTTCTCCACGCCGTGGTGTCTTTTGAACCCCCGTGTCACACCTAAAATGATGAAAATAAAAGAACGCATCAATTATTATGTTGGGGAAGTTCAGTGCCAAAACGATTTTTCCTATTCTTTTAGCATAACGTCATATTCGTAATTAATTATACGATCCTTTTTCGGCATTTTATGATTATATTTATGCACATTTTTGATGGTAAGGACCATATATCAGGGTTATTCAATTCCCGTCCTAGCTCTCGTCACTGCCCACTCAGCGACACCGCGGCAGTCTACGAACAGTTTTACACTCGGCCCACACCGCACACTTTTCCCGATTAAAATAACAATCATATATTTGTATGTAATGCCTGTACAAAATGATTTAAATATAAGTCAATATTGGCTTGAATTTATTGTATTTATTTGCGTATAAGCCAGTGACAATTTCTGTTTAATGCTTGTAGATGAGCCCACTGTCTTTGTAGGCAAACCAATGTGTCCCGAGCCGCAAATCACTAACATTCCGATTTCTCTATGTTACTTGCAACTCGGTCGAGGAGAGGGGCTGGATTTGTATGGCTTTCCGTTAGCTCATTACAAGCCACTTCAAACTACCGTAATTAAAACGAGATACAAAATTGTCCCATTCGGGTATTTTCGGAAACACTCGCAACCAATGGGACGTTAACCTTTAAAGGAAAGGCATTGAATGGCAACACTGTCGTATAATGTATTCAACTGTGTATTTAGCATATTATTATAATTTATGCAAACTTGGAGCTTAGCTCGTCATACCACAGTATAATTAAATCACAAGCAATGCTATAACGCTTTACCTAGTGCTACAAGAAATAAAAACAAAAAATAAAACGTAAAATATTCGCATGATGCATTTAAATTCTGTCTTGTATTGTTAGTTTAATGTTAAATTTCAATACAGGTGTTTTGTCCCGGGGGCCTGTTATATCAAATGGTGGATTTACAGAGGGCGCTGGGATGCGAGGTTACCCGTGGTTACTCGTACACATATATCACACAGTGCAATGCGGCAATGGCGTCATTGTAACGTCGGCCCCTTTAACTGAACTCGTTATTTCTTACCTTTGAATAAATAATTTTAATTCTGACGCATCTTTTAAGATTTGTTGGCCCTCTGCTACCGTCATACCCACCGTTGATTGGTCGTTTATTTTTAATATGACATCACTTGGAAGTATTTGCGCTTTGGCAGCTTTTCCGCCAGCCGTGGTCTGAAAAATAATAAATGAATCGTATTTCCTTGAAAAAGAAATAAATATCATGGCCAACTAATTATGGAATACGTCACGGTGCCTTTTCCAAACTTGAGCAAATCTCTTCAACGGGTTTTATTTAAAAATAAACCCAGAATCTTTCATCATTGTGGCGGTTGATGTCCTAGATCAATCAGCCCATAACACGATACAAATATTCCAGGAATTTGTACCACTCAAGTTTACAATCAAACTACGTCATTGAGGCAAACCACGCTGAGTACGTCCGGTCACTATACTACACTTTGTTATAATAGGAGTCTATATACATAAAATCTTAGAAATGTATGCTAATTGTTAAACATCTTTTTAATTTTTATTTTATTATTGTTGTATTTGTTGTATTTGTGCGTTACTGTGTTGGTTTTTGGCCATAAGTTATGTAATTTCTTACATTATTTCGAGTCAAATAAAATATTCTATTCTATTCTATTCTAATAGTGTGTTTCGATTCCTACTGCAAAATGAACATTGTGTAATACATTACAATACAATACTGCGATACTATGGGTATAGGATTCCTATGCACCAAGCTGTTTTCTACACTGATACAGCGTAATATAGTTAATTTCTATCATTTTTCACCCAAAATGAGCTTACATACATTATACTCAATTCACAAGCGAGAATCGAAACACAACTATATCAAATTAGTGCTTTAAAACCAGTGCTTGTGTTTAGGAGAAATTTTAATGGCATGAAAACTGTAGTGACAGTTATTATGTGACTGACCTTTTTGACTACTGTTTTTTATATATAGCATCGCTGACATTTGAAACTATGGGTCACGTGTTCTGAATAACCAATTAGAAACATGCCGATATGCTCACAGCAGGGTGACGTCACCGAATGGAGTTTGCGTCTGTCATGGGCGATAAGCCGTCACTGTTTATTAGAATGTGTTTTCTTTTTTTCCCTCCTAGCGGTATATCACGAACAACATTACTGCAGAGATTGGTCCGAGTGATACGTGATATGTCCCAATACAACACGGAATTCAACAAGGAATTCTAGTCATTTCAAAGACTCTCTAACTTAACAACGATGGAATACCCCCACGCATGCACCATCCAATCAATATATTAATTAGTTTCCATCATTATTATGACACAAATTTGACATTTTAGAATACTTTATCGTCAATATTATACAGTGTATCGTAACTAAAACAGTTAAATACGTCTGAAACATTTGCCCGGAACTATTTTTCACATTCCTAGGTGGATCAGCTGACCCGTTAAGCTGCATAATCAACTGAACCGCTGGTAACACTCACTGCGAAGATACGTCAAACGTTTGACAGTATTTCGTGAGAACGTTCGTAAAATTCACGAGTTGTAACAAGTGCCTGATGATAAGAATGTATTGTATATAAAGTGATCTGATTGGAATACCAGATTCCACTCAAAACCACTTTTCCAGACACACTACATTTTACTAACCAATGTATCTGTATTTTGCCACCAATATGTTTATATTCATTCCGATATATTTTCACACATTATTAAAGTCAAGATGCGTTGAAATATACATCTTCAGTACACTCGCCTACAATGGAATGTCCATAAAAACAAGGCAGTGGGGCGTGTTATAAAACTTTCTTGTGCAAATCTATTTCATTTTTGCGAATAAAAACTGTTCATTGTAACGCCCATTTAATCCAGACATCACAGTTTGTTGCTTGTGTAATATTATAAACAAAACATTGCAAGTTATACGATAATAATTTTGATTTTACCTTAGCTATCACAAGTGGCGTCTCATTGTCCTTTCCATCTCCCAGCCGGAACCCCCAGGGACAGGGGCCCTGAAGCGTCACCTCAAATTGCATTTCAGAAAACCCGATCGCAGTGGTGTCGAAGAAACTTGCAGAAAGAAACAAGGATAACTGTAGATGCCGGTGGTGACGTCGTTCTCTGTAAGTGGTATCTTCACTATGCCGTGTGACGATACATGCGCAGAGATAGTTGTCAAGGTCGTATCTGCCTTCACTCTTTGGTGGGGGTAACACGCGCATGCGTATGGAATATAAATCATGGAAGAGGCAACGCGTTTATGAGCTGCAATGTAAAACTGAATGGCAATTGATAGAAAACACAATCTGTACCTTAGCATTAATGAAAAACTTGATAAAACGGATGTAGGTATAGATTCCAATTTGTTATTTATTTAATTTTCAAGTTGTATATTTTTTATCTTCTTTTTTTATTTATGTATGTAAAGGTTTTATTCAGTTTTGTATATATCGTATCTCTAATTAAGAATACGATCTACAAAGAGAATAGTGGCAAATAAACATAAAATAAACAAATAGAAACAAAGATAAGAAGATAAGAATAAATAAAATATGAATAGATAATTAAGAAATAAATAAAACATATTGACATCAAAGTTTGTTTGTCTAATCCCTCTACGCCAATCAAGTTCACAGATCGGCACCCTCGTTTTCAGAGCACCGTATTGTTCATTTTGAATAATCCAAATAATATTTCACTCTATTCCATGACGACAGAAAATAAATTATTGAGGGGGGGGGGAGTCTCGCTCCTAACTAGGCGGCCGTTTGAGAATAAGACCTGTTATCAATTTACGTCATCATTACAGACATTCGATTCTCAAGAATTAACGATATTTTGTATTCTCGGGGGCGGAGCTACGTCACAGAAAGTTCTACGTTGCTAAGACGCGCTTCCTCCCGAAAAATGTGATAGTGTCGTCGTAGCTGGCGCTGGTTCGCATCCCCACGGGAGTATAAGCACCATCCAAACATCGATAAATATTATACTATAAATCGTGTAAAAATAGCCAGAGAATCAATGTATCCTCGAGGGCGGAGCTACGTCACAAGACGTTCCACGACGCGCACCACTGTACATGTATTTCTATGGGCTCTGTGCGCGCTGCTGTGGAACGCCGGTCGAGCCGGTGAAAATTCGATAAAACAACACAAACTCAACTTTGAAGTAATCCCGAACAACCAAATTTATATATGTTACACACGTAGGGCTAATCTTGTTACACTGTTCAGGGGAGTCTCAAAAATCATCCCAAAGTACCGTTTTCTGCGAGTTTTTTGCCTTTGTTTTCACCGCCGCGGGTTGCCAGGAGGTGAAAATGCCCGGATGTCCGCCCCCGAGGATATGACAATCATTTTGAATTGGTGTATGATATATTTCTGTACTAGTATGGCGTTCATGTTATATCGTGTACCTACATGTAAATTGTGAATTATTAATTAACAACATTATTGCACTGATTGATTGCACTGATTGTAATTTTATTACCGCATTACTAATTCACAGTAATTTCTTGATTCAGACAAAGATATATTAGCCATCATCATATTTACGTTCCATCAATGACTAACACAATTGGAACTATTT